AAAGAAAGAAAGAAAGAAAGAAAGAAAGAAAGAAAGAAAGAAAGAAAAAGAAAGAGGAAGGGAGAGAAAGAAAGAGAAAGAAAGAGAAAGAAAGAAAGAAAGAAAGAAAGAAAAAGAAATAGGGAGAGAGAGAGAGTGGTGTGTGTGTGAGAGAGGAAAAAAAGAAAGGAAGGGAGAGAAAGACAGAAAGAGACAAAGAAAGAAAGAAAGAAAGAAAGAAAAAGAAATAGGAAAGGAGAGAGAGACAGAGAAAACTCTGTGCTATTATTTTTAATTGTTCCATTATTTATCATGTGTTAATATTTTACACTGTCCCTACACCTAGAGTGATTCTACCGCCTTTCTTTTGCCCAGGGCTACCACATATTTTTCAGGGTTTACATGCATTCAATGTCTATAGTCCAGAGCATAAATACATGTGTGTTTAACAGAGTTGAAAGGGAGTTTGGAGGTCTTCTAGTCCAAGCTCCTGCTCAGGCAGGAAAACTGAGGATGCCAAACTCTGAGTAGAGGTCCTGGAAAAAGGTGTCAGAATAACACTTAGAACGGACTTTTGGGGGAACCCTATACCATTTCAGAGAAATGGCTGTCCAGTCTTTTCTTAAAAACTTCCAGTGATTGAGCACACAGGCAGTTCCACTGGTTAATTGTTCTCACTGTCAGAAAGTTTCTCCTTAGTTTTAGGTTGCTTCTCTCTTTGTTCAGTTTCCTTCCATTGCTTCTTGTTTGCCTCCTGGTGCTTTGGAAAATACATTCCCCCCCTTTCTTTGTGGCAGCCCCTTAAAAGCCTGTTGCCTATCACACTCTTGAGTAAAGCATGTGAGCCATTTCCTCCTTTCAGTGGTCCATAAAAGTACATCTGTAGTATGCAGATAATAAAGTCAAAAAAGGTGAACAACTTTTTTACAGAACCATAGATAAGTTGAAGCTGGGTGACAAGGAATGGCTGGGAGGGGTCAGGTGAGGCACCCCTTGATGTGAGTGACATTGAGTTGGCCACACCCACCCAGTCACATGACCACCAAACACGTCTACCCAGTCACATGACTACTAAGCCACACCTACCCAGTCACATGACCACCAAGCCACACCCACCAAATAAGCCACGCCCACAGAACCGGTAGTAAAAAAAATTGAATTCCACCACTGTTTGGACTGCTATTTTGATTCCACCATTTTTCAGTCTCTACACTTCTTGACATAGAGCTATTAGCTATTTTAACTTCCTCTTCTTCTGTAACTGTTTATAATTTCAGTATGTGATATTTTCTAATAGGTGTCTATTATAATAATTCTAATAGATATCATTTCTATCCTGCCTTCAGTTAACTAAGCATATATAGCAGAGTTGCCCAACCTTTCCTGCTTTGTGGACTAGTGGTGGGGGGAGGGGAAGTGGGGATGCTTCCAAGTTAGCGCAACTCCATTTCCATGAATGGCAGGCACACAGATGCTCACCACTCCTGCAAATGGAGTGCACATGCACATGCTTGCCCACTGCTTCCACAAGTGCAGATGCACAGACACATGCACACACCCACCACTTCCACAGCCTTGTTCCGAAAGGCCCAAGGCCTGGTAATGGACCACAGCCTGGGGATTGGAGACCCCTAATATATAGAACTGCCCCTTTGGAGCATCATTGCTATTCTGATCTTTAATATGATTTCATATCCTGAAGAGTATAATGTAATCATCTGATTTGAAGTGGCCGGATCCAGTCCATCTAAAATCCCAAGGCATCAAATGTTGTGAGCTTCATGTCTGCTTTGATGATTTCTTTGGTTTTCTTTGGTCACATTCTGTTTTACAATTGTTTCAGCAGTGATACCAACACTGATTAGCAATAGCACTTAGACTTATATACCGCTTCACAGTGCTTTACAGCTCTCTCTAAGCAGTTTATATAGTCAGCCTACTGCCCCCAACAATCTGGGTCCTCATTTTACCCACCTCGGAAGGCTGGGTTGAGGGCTGAACTCCTAGAGTAAGCAGTGAGTTAGCCCTCCAGTACTGCATTCTAACCACTGTGACACCACTAGATATGCTTGCAGTTCTGGTTTGGTGAGTTCATTACTTCCAGATTTATCTGTGAATATTCAATATTCCTCTACAGTATCTAAAACAGTGCCTTCTAATCTAGGGGTGATAATGTTTCACCAGCTGGTGTCTAAATTTAACTGAACTTTCAGCCATGTGCATATGGTTCTCTTGGTAAAAATACAGAAGAGTTCTTCTATTGCTTTCCTCTATGTATGGTATTTGGAGATGCTTCTTCTAATTTTTGGCTTCCTTTATCTTTTCACAGTCTCATTCGCTACGGTCCGTGTTGTGACTTCCCTTACCCTTTCTATCTTACAGACAAGATTGACTCTGGAAAACATATCCCCATCAGCACTATTCTCAAAGTTCTTGAAAATATGGGGTCCTCCAGCAGATCAAGGGATAATTTTTTGGGATGGACTTTTAGTAACCATGGTGTCTGGTCATGAAAAGAATCTAAGATTTATATTGCTAAATCTTAGAAAAAAAGTGTATTGTACAAGGCTATATTCAAATATAGTTAAACATATAAAATGTTCTCTGCCTTATTTTGTTTTTGTTTTTTTAATAGTATATTCTCTCTATAGACAGAGCAAATTTGAATAAGGAGTTATTGACTGGTAAGTGTGGCTTAATCTGTTTTGATCCTTTCTCAATTTATCACATATAAAATTATGTTGTGTTCGAGGTGAAATCGTTACTCAGATAGAATCAACATATAAGAAAGATGAATGGCTGTTTACTGTTTAAAATGAGTGTTATCTTCTCCTTTTACATGAGCAAAGACTACAAGCAGTACAGTATATGTATGCTGTGTAGATAGAAAGAGAAAGTCAATTCAAAATCAGCACCTCAATAAAGTCCTCTGAAGACACCAATTCTCAAAACCCATTAGCCCTCTGCTGGCTGTCAACTGACTGCCAGGTTTTTAGGTTTAAATAGTCTTTCAAAGTTACACACCTCCACAAGCTCAGGCAAGCCGAACATCTCAGTAATTACAAGACAGAGAGTTTATCCAGTCATTTTGCTTTCAATGCCCAGCATGCTGGAATTTAGAACACAAACATTTGGGAGCAAGCCAAAAAAAAGAGACTGCAGAAAAGCAATAATGGGCGTAGCAAAAGTTATATTGGTAGAGTTTATAACCCATCCTCCATTCAAGAATAGGAGAACAGCACTTTCACCAGGGATAATAGAAAGTTGCTTAGAGCTGCGAGAGTCCTGGCTGCTTACAGTGAACAAGTAATGAGTATGTTGGAGTGGGCCAGACTTGTTTTTCACCATATGATTGGTCTTTATGGTGCAAAATAGAGTTATTGAGAAGACGAAGGCAGAAAGTTTGGAAGTGGATGCATATACATCACATCAAGTGCCAAAAGTCAGGTCAAATTACCCAGATCTAACTACAGGGATCTTAATGAATGGACTGGGTGAGAAAAAGTGACATGATTAGAAAATGTGCTACATTTTATAAAATCAATTATTTCAGAACTGTTTTCTTGCAAACACTTGTTCACTACCTCTAAGAAAAAATATATCTCAATGTTTAGATTTCATGTTGTTTCTTTTTCCTCTATTTACAGCTGCTGAGAAGTATCCCAATGTTAAATTATACTTTGAGCACAAACTGCTTCACTGCAATGTAGACTCAGGGCTACTGACCTTTTCAGGGTAATCAAATCACTCTGATTTTCCCAGCATACTCTAATTATTAACCAGTACCCAAACAATAGGCCACAGTGACTCTTTCCAACTGTTGTGGGGGCCTGTATTTGTGGGAATTGAAAAATCATTAGGTTCCCCACCCCCATGTTAGCAAAGATTAACAATTTAGCACAAACAACAACCATAAGACTGTACTTCATAAACTCTTGGCAATATAATATCTTGGATAGAGGGACTTCTGCTGAATTCAGGATATATTTATTACTGAGAAATGATTTATATTTTTAGGAGATTACGAGTTTTTTCAACAAATAAAGTCTAATGTGAAGCGCCTATTTAATGCATTTGCTTAGTCTCCTCTTCATCCTCTTCTTCTCCTCCTAATAAAAATATAAGATGAAATGTATGGAAACATATTGAATGGGCATTTGAAAAGATCATCTCACACAAAAACTATTATGAATAATATTGCAGTAGAGGACTCACAAATCTATACTTGATTTTTAAAACCCAGATTTTATTGTCAATAATATCTAATGACATGTAGTGTCATTTGTTACATTAAAATATATAAAATTTTAAAAGCCAGGATCTATTGGATGTCAAAATTCTTATTTCAAAAATAACTCCACTTACTTTTTTTTACCCAAATGTGAAGGAGTCAAGCAGAAAAAAAAGTACATTCTTTAAACTTGGTGCTACAAGAGAGATCTAAGCAAAGAGAAGTCGTGTTCAATCATCACACAATATTCCACAATATTTATTTATGCCTGAGCACACATACTAATGGTACTTTTTGTGTTTTCTTAAAGACCAGACCAAATGACTAAAAAGATCACCTGTGACTTAATTGTGGGCTGTGACGGAGCCTTTTCCACAGTGAGGAAGCAGTTTATGAGACAAACACGGTTCGATTACAGTCAAGTGTATATTCCACATGGATATCTGGAACTGAAAATTCCTCCAAAAAATGGTGATGTAGGTAGTTATAATTCACAATGAACTTGTTTCTGCTGTTCCCAATTCATAAGATACACTGGCATTGACAGATATCTTTCCATTACCTTTTTTTTTTGGGTCTTTCAGTTTGCAATGGAGCCAAACTATCTTCACATTTGGCCTAGGAACACATTCATGATGATTGCACTGCCAAACCTGGTAAGAGACTCTAAATGCATCTTTCATCTTTGACATTCTAGAATCTGGATTTGGTCTGGACAATCAGTTTCAGTCAATGTTGGCTCCTGGAAGCATACAGTATTATAGATTGCATGCCTGGAACTGCATGTCTAATTTTTTTCTGCTGCAAATTCCATTCCTACACTCATTCCCATTCATATATCCTTTCTTATTGCTACTGCCAGGTACTGGCGGGTAATTTCTGACTCCTCCAACTGCCTGAGTGGATTCACTTATTCATAATTGTCCTCTCTTGTATGAAAGCATTGCCAGCCTAGTTCATTACAGCCCGAAGGGTGATTTTAGGAGGAGTCACAAAGTGGAGGAGAGGAAGCATCACTTGCATGCTGTACTAAGATGTGAAACTAACTTCAATCATCAGAATTGCTGTTTTAAAAGCTTGGTTAGTATACAAGAGTTCAGAAGCTTCTATTTTCTCTGTATTACAGTATAGCATATTCTAGAAAAGGACAAGGTTCAAATGGTCATTTTTTGTAGTGAAGGAACAGTGTAACAGGTGGAGTTAAATATCAGCTATTACCACCTATTGTGTCCCCTTCTCCCTGTCTCTTGTCAGATAAAAATGCAGTAATTGCAAAACCTATCTCATAACAGCCAAAACCAACGTTGCTATTTCATTTCTTAAAATAGACTGGGGAAAAAAAACACCTTTTTTGCCATTCCATCCTGGTTGGACAGGCATGATTCAGTAATAAAGCTGTTCTAAGGATCTATTTTCTTTCCCAACTTTAGATGTTCTGCTGCTGTACTATGCAGTATATTACTAGAGGGCTGCCTGAAAAATCAAACAAACAAACATAAGTCACCCTTCAGTAATTCAAGGTAGAATGTGTGTGGTTCAGAGGTTAGAAAAGATCAGACCTCTATTTGTTCATCCTTATTTTTTCTGGCTTTATTTTCAACTGATAGGATTAAAGGGTTATTTCATTGCTCAACTTGTTTTTCTTCAAAGAGTTGAAGATTATAGTACATTCACCTAGTAGTTCATCCTTTCTCTCTGTCTTTAGCTCAGATGGTATCAATATTTTGTACACTCCTAGTTTCTAACAGACAGTTTTGGAGTTGGTATTTTAAAATGTCATTTTCTTTTACTTCACATACACCCATTTGCTGATGGTTGCTGTCCAAACATGAGCAAGCAATAAATAAATATTTCATGTTTGAATGCCCGTTCCATTTCCAAACCAATAGACTCTAAATCCTTGAAATGTGATTAACATCTCATCCATCTTAATTACCTGAAAGTTCACCAAGATAACAGATAAAAATTTGTGGATATCTCCCCACTTGCATCTAATCATAGTACTAACATGCCCTGGCATTTTCCTATGTCCCCAAGATATTACCTTCAGCTCATTGCCAATCCATCAGGAAAGCAGGCTTAAGTCATCCTTAACTATACTGGTGTTACAGTAGCCCAAAGCAGCATTTATTTTGATATCACCCAGAAATATCCTCAATGTAAAGAAAACTGTAGATTTTGTCAGCCAGAAAAGTTAGATGACTAGCAATGAACAGAGCCAATAAAATATAAGAGTTTGGCAATGGAGATATAAAGTTTTCTGCCTTTTCAAGAAGGCGGGTAGCATTTCAATCAAGCAATGGGGGAAGCTCCTAAATCAGGGGTATCAAAGTCACATCATCATGACAGCATCACATGACATATTGGGATTTCCCCCCCACTTCACTAAACTGGGCATGTACAATAGATACGAACTCAAGGTTAACTGCACCAAACTTGATTGCAGAAAATACGACTTCAGCAACAGAGTGGTCAATGTCTGGAATACTCTACCCGACTCTGTAGTTTCTTCCCCAAACCCCAAAAACTTTAACCTTAGACTGTCTACTATTGACCTCACCCCTTTCCTAAGAGGTCTGTAGGGGGGGCCGTGCATAAGCGCACCAACGTGCCTACCGTCCCTGTCTTATTGTTTCTTTCTTTCTTTTTTCTTATATGTATCCATTTCATGTATTTATAGCCATGTTTATACTTATATCTGTATCTTGTAAGTGATTGACAAATCAAATAAATAATAAATAAATAAATAAATGGCCATACATCTGGCCCATGGGCTGGGAGTTTGACAGCCCTGCCCTAAAGTAAGTGCAGTACCTCTGAAAAGAGTGGGATCCTCTTTTTACTGAAAACCTCATGAAATAGCATAGAAAAGTGTAGAATTTAAATATATATAAATATATGTATACATGTATGTGTGTTTATGTTCAAATAAGTGAAGTTACAAAAAATGAATATATTTATATGTGTGTGTGTGTGTGTGTGGTTTATATTATATTCTCTTTATTTTGCAAGTTTGATTTTAGGATTGCTACTGAATCAAAATTATTTTCAAGTTTTAATGTAATTTAACCATTTTAATCCATAGGATAAATCATTCACCTGTACACTTTTCATGCCCTTTGATGATTTTGAAAAGCTTGCCACAGGAGAGCAAGTGCTGAATTTCTTCAAAACTTATTTTCCAGACTCAGTTCCTCTAATAGGAGAGTAAGTTTCAATTTGTCTACTATAAATCAAATCAAATCAAATCAAAATAAAGCAAAACAAGCCCTAATCTAAGCATAAAAGCATCTAAACAGCCGTTGCACATGACAGAGCAAGCTCTAGCAGAGATTATGTTAGAAATTAAAGTCATTGATTCTGTTCTTTATGCAGTGCTTACCATTGTGCATTAATTTCCACTTATTACTTTGGTCTTCACTCTAAAAAAAGATTTTGAGATGGCTTTTTTGTAAATTGTCCTGCAATCCAAGATGGTTTATAAAAGTTTAACTCAGCAAAATAAACTCTGTTTAAATATTTAAATAGCAAGTAAAGATCAAAACAACTACCTACCAAGTCCAGCTATCCTTCAACCCCAACTTGCATATGTTGTTGAATCTTTGCTTTATATTAGTACTTAATCATTTCTTTAGTGATGTTTTTTCAATGTTATTTCATAATGCAGATCAACCATAAGAATAGTTTAAGTCTTTAAGACAATGCAGAAAATCCTTAGGAGCTCAGTCATACATCTGTCTATAATTTTTTTTATTTGAAATGTGTGTATGCATGTATGTATATATTTGTGATCTTTATTTTTTTTGAAGTTCTGAACTTATACATTGCTACTTGTTGGGTATCTAAGAAATAGTTATGCCAAAACCCCACTTCCCATTCTCCTTGCAGCTTTCAAAATATCCATATTCCAATCAGTTATCAAATAAATGTTTACTTAGCATTTAATCAGTGATACAGCACTTTGAAATTTCAGGCACGAACTGATGCAAGATTACTTTGTGCTACCAGCTCAGGCAATGATCTCTGTGAAATGCTCATCGTATCACACTGGCTCTCAATGTGTGCTAATGGGAGATGCTGCACATGCCGTTGTACCCTTTTATGGCCAAGGCATGAATGCTGTAAGTCAAAGAACCTTTGCAACTGAAATCTTTGGTGTTTTTGTGTTTCTCAATAAAGAGTGCTTCTTTGCAGTTATCAGCTTCCACCCTCCGCAGCAGTTTCAGATAATTGCAGAATTGTCCTCATTGCTGATCTAAAGGAGTAGAGCTGGCCAATTAAAAAAAGAGTAGTGCCCTATTTCCTCTGCATTTCCTCACACAACAAGGAAAAAGGGGATCAGAGTAAAGACAAAGCTGCCAAGCAATAGGGCAAAGGATTGTAAGATGGTGTCAGGATTCTCTTAGGGCAGGAGAAACTCGGAGCAGGAATGCAGAGAATGTAAACATGCCACGTCTATTAACAAGTGAACATGAGAACAGGAAGGCAAGATCTTCACTATAAAGAGGGAAATGTTGGAAAAGAACACAATGTATTTGGAGTAGGAGGAACTATAAGTTCTGTATCAACTTTATTACTTGTGGACTTCAACTCCCAGAATTCTTTCCCCAGTCATGTTAGCTCAAGAATTTTGGGAGTTGAAGTCCCCAAGTCTTAAACTTGCCAAGTTTGAAGATCCTTGATCTAGCTCATTTGTTAAAGTTGAGATAATCACTTCTGTTTTCTTAATTTTGAGTTAAATATTTGTAATTGAGCATTTGATTGTTCTAACTGGCCAGAAAGAACAAAGCACCAAGGTTTCAGGAAGTGGTACCTGGCCTGTGTGACAACTTTATCATTTGAAAATTGTAAAAGTAATTTGGCACTTACTAGGTCACACATTTCTGTGTTTCCCCCAATACAATACCCATGGAATTAGAATTTACTATTTAAAATTAGGTTCTTACTTTCCTTGCATTTCTCCCCCCAGGGATTTGAAGACTGTCTAGTCTTTGATGAGCTGATGGACCAGTTTCAAAATGACCTCTGTAAGTGGCTGTGAGGTAGAAAAAACAATATTCTACCAAATGCAAATTAAAAATGGCTTTATGTGAAATGAGTTCAGAATCTCTGTCATCTACTCCCCCATCCACATATTGAGGGTGTGTCTTCTCCTTCTGCAAAATTGCATTGACAACCAATTGCCCCAACCTCTGTGTGCTAGGCGGATTGTAAAGTCAGATAGGTGATGTATGTGTGTAGCAGAATAGGAGATAAGGACTATGATTGCTCCTAAAATGGAAATAATCTTTCTGAGATAACTGGTATCATAAACTACATAAAAATATTTTTTCTATAGCTCATGGTACATTAGTATGGTCAGTAAGTTGTAGGTACAGTAAGTTGTAGATACAATAAGTAATTGTTGGTGTTCTCTGGAATTGAGAATTATATTTTTGTGGCTCTCTTTTTGTTTGATTTTTCCATCACCAGAAAGGATGTCTAATATAAGTCAGTAATACAAATACTGTAGATAAAACTTCAATTTTTCCTTTCTTTAAAAAAATCTTATTTGATTTTTTAAACATACAAGTAAACCTAAAAGTCTTATCACAAATTTCTTCTGTATAAGATGCTAATGAGCAATGATTCATGTAAAAAGTTTTTCCCTATTTAAACTAAAAAAATTAGTCCCTTCCCTTCCTTTTCCTGAAAAAAAAAAAAAACAGTTTTGCAAAGTTATCATTCTTAAAATCTTTCCTTTCATAAATTTTAAGAACTTACAAGGCACACATACTAAACTTTTTAAGCTAATTAAATTAAATTTTGGTAAAGGTAATCTCATTCCATTTTTTTTTAAAGAAAAGGCTGACGATGTACAAATATGGATAATATTGAATAGTGAAGCTATTATAAGTACTTAACCCTAAGTAATATGTATAAAAATATAGATAACTTTATACAAAACTTCAAAAAAATGTCCCTTAATGGGTGACATGATGAGGCTCAAATATAAAGTTACAAAAATTATATGGTAGACATCAGCAACAGCAAAGTGGCAGGCCAACAGCTGAATCTATTAAAAATTTCCAACACTACAAGCACTGGTATTATGTGACATGCAAAGTTTTTTTAAAAATGTTATTTTTTTTTATTGAAAACTCTTGCAGAACCTGAATTGACAAGGACTGAAGTAGAATATTACTATAAACACTTCACAGATTGTATCTTTAGACACTGTATGCTCATAAAGCTATAAATAAAACATGAAAAAGGGTATAACCCTAACCCTAATCCAACTAATGCTGATCAGGGAATGGAAACTAGTTGCAACTTCTATTTGCATCTTCTGTGGCATCATCAAAGTTTTTCTCTGAAGAAGGCCTGTGTTGTCCCTGCTTTTTCCTCAGGTGTTTGCCTTCCAATGTTTTCAAAGCTGAGGGTACCTGACGATCATGCAATTTCAGATTTAGCCATGTATAATTATATAGAGGTGAGTTAAAGAATATTTGATTGGCCATTGAATTATGGGCAATGTCATCAAATGCAAATCTATCTCTTTTCCAATTTCAGATGCGGGAACGTGTGAATTCAAAGTGGTTCATTTTCCGAAAGCATATAGACAATTGGCTTCATGCCCTCCTGCCCTCTATCATCATTCCTCTGTATACTATGGTGAGACTCTAACACTTAATACTGCAGGATTTTGTATATATATTTTTTTCACCTGTCCACTTTTTCCTTCTGGGATACACCCAGGGTCCTATATTGATTTTGTAATCTCCTTCAGGTAACATTCTCCAGAATCCGATACCATGAAGCTGTGCAACGATGGAAATGGCAGAATAAGGTAAATTAAATTCAGTTGTATTTGTCATTATTACCTTTATTGTCAGAGTACAACATGTACAATGAGATTTGCCTGAAGCAGCTATATCAAACATTTATTGTTGTAGCAAATGTGTAGGAAGAAGTTGAAAAGTATATCTATCTTCACTTTAGATTTTATAAAGATGAAAATTTGGAATATCTAGTACCATCAAATTATATATATTGTAAAGATGCAAATAGCTTCCCAGTAGACCTAAAGGTCGTACCCAACTCATCCTCTCTTTGTTAATCAGGATGGAGAGCATGGCCAGAAACACTTCAGGACAATCACTACATATAATCGGGGGGGGGGGGGGGATTCTACCAGTTCACACCTATTCACTAGAAACGGTTGTTAACATTCTAAGCAGTTCGGAGAACCGGTTGTTAGAAGAAATTACTGGCCTAATCCTGTAAGGAAGGCAGGAAGGAAACATTCTGGTGTTGCTTACAGAAACTGCCTCTCCATTAACTCTTATTACATTCTTGGCAGGACTAGACTTCCTGTCTCAGGAACGTCTCTGGAGTTTTTTTCCCCTCCTTTGCTGGTACTTTGCTTGTGTGGAGTGACCATTCAAAGTTACAATGGCACTGAAAAAGTGACTTATAACCATTTTTCACACTTACGACTGTTGCAGCATCCCCACAGTCATGAGAGGCCAGGCGAGGAGATCATGCCTCGATGTGATATTGAGTTGGCCGTACCCAGCCAATAACATGACCACCAAGCCATGCCCACCACCTAAGCCACGCCCACAGAACCGGTTGTTAAAATTTTTGAATCCCACTCCTGCATATAATCCCCTAGCTAGAATTTTTGAGTCCTGAGGCTGCTCAGGATCAGCAGAGCATCTGAGCCTGCCCTGAAATCTCTTCCTTCCAGGACTCTCTCTTCCTTCCTGGAATATGAACCCAATCTCACCAAACAGTTCTGAGAAAACTAATGAACTAGGGTGGTTATATGATCATCATCATCATCATCAGATTCCCTTGTGCCATATCTTACCAGTTTCGTGGTGAGGTAAAGGGACAGATGAAAACAGAGAGTGATATAACAAAGAAATAAAAATTTGGAATTAAGGATGCAAGAAATGCTTGTTGAACTCAAACCTGAATTTCTTTGGGACTGACTTTGATGTGTGTTCAGAACAGTAGCCTTAAATATCTAGATTTAAGTCTTACTAAAAACGTTGGCAAAATAATTACAATTGTTTCCACCTGGAATATTTTTCAGATCTTTTACTAAAATTCAATTTTTTCGTTGTTGTTAAAGGTGATCAATAGAGGCCTCTTCCTCACCATGGTAGCAGCAGCAGTGAGTGGCATCTATCTGTTCAGACATGGAAAGTTATCCAAAATTGACTTTCGTGTAGAGAATTTGTGGAGACATACTTAAAAATGGTGGAAAACTTTCAGAAATCGTTTGAGATAGAAATGAATACTTTCTTGGTCTTCCAAATATAAAAACACATATGATGTAGATGAGTGCTGGATCCAAGACCTAAATTCCTGTTCATATAGAGAAATTCACTATTATTTTGTTATCGGTGAACATGTCACAAGCTGCTTCTAGATATGGATATGCCTTGCATTTTATGATTGCTTTGCTATCCTGTGTTTCCTTTGCAAGAAATCTGCAATATCCCAGCTACATCATCAACACATTTTGACAGAAGATGCTAGGGCATTTCTAAGACTGTTCTACCATCTCATCTTTGGTTCCCTCCCATAAGATAATCATTATGGCAATGCTAGGTGTTATCTAATTCAATTGTTATTGCATCTTTTAAAAAAAAAAAAATCATATAATCCCGGAATTCCATTCTTCACAAACTCTAGTATGGTGAAAAAAAAAAATAAAGTTGTTGGTTGGGATCCAGTTGTCTATTTCTGCTAGAACAGTTTCAATAATTGCAATAATCTCCCTGCGTATCCTCAAAATATGATCTGGAGGGTCTTTCAGGTTTTGTGGCAACAGTGACATTCAGCCTGCATGATATTAGTTCCATCCACAGTTCTAAATCTCAATGTCATGCTTAATGGATTTTAAGGCAGATGGTTCTGAGAGGGTGGTAAGATTGGCGGGTTAGCAGGCAAATGCCTGAAAAATAGGGTGATTAGGAAAATACCAAGATTAGGAAAGTTTTCAAGTCCACAGAAGTACTCCAAGCAGATTAAAGAATGGGCAGGCATACACTGAGAAGCTCAGAAGGCAGTGGGCCAGTGGGAAGACACTGGGAAAATTAGGAAATGAGCAGGTCAGTGAGACAATCCTAGAAAGATGGGAGGCAGCCAAGCTGGTGAGAAGATGCTATGATGATTGGCGGGTGGAAGGGCCAGTAGGAAGCAGCTGAGAAGGGGGCAAAGTTGGGGGCAAAGTTGCGAAGAATAGTGGAGCAGAGTACTAGGAAAATTGGAAGTACATTTGAATCTGTTATATTTCTGATTACATACCTGAATCTCATTATACTACATAATCCCAGCTCAGTCTTCTCCTACTTGCCTTTAATTGAATGAAAATCCTATCTGTTCATAATTTAAGGGGAAATAAAATTGATACCAAATAACCGCTTTCACATCTCAGACTACTTCAACGCACAAGGCATATTTGAGCACAAATTGAAATGTACATGAGATTTATTGGTATCAGTGTATAGTTGAGAATTGAAAGCATGGCTACATAATTACAAATTGAAATGGCTTTAAATCAGTAAAAGGTTTATTGATTTCAATGATGCATTAACAATATTTATCAAGTACCTTATTAAGTGCCTGGAATCCGCACCAGACCAAAATTTTGTGAAAATAGACACATCATGACATCACAAATTCTGCTCCTTACGTACATATACATGTAATACATAGCAGTGCTAATACAAAACGGGAGAGTTTAAATTGCAATTGTTGTCTTGCACAAGTTCCTTCCCTGTGGATGATCATGCCTAGCATCTTGAAAACTGACAAAGTTTAATATACAGTGCTAAAGCTTGTTTTATCTGGGGTTGCATACAGCTTGCCTGATCAAACTAATCTTTTGCTGTAGAACTAGAGGGTTGTTGTTTTTACTCACAAAGAATTTTAATTCATGTACCATTCTATTAATTAAAATTGGTTAAAATGAGTGGTGACAATACTGTTCCTCATGTAATGTCCAGAATTTGTGCTATTATACCAGCAATTGATGTCTACAGTGCCCAAAATTTAGGATTTACATATGTCAAAAATGAAACATCTCATCCGCTACCATGTCTCATAATGCTTTGCATTTGCTTATATTGTGTGGACTTAAGCAATTTAACCAAACTAATATAAATGGTTTAATGCAATTGGTAAACCAAGATAAAACTCTGTTCATGCATCTCATCAATTATAATATGGTTTGCCTGATTTATGAGTTAGCATGTTTTTTTATTATAGAGCTAATCAAGAGCCCCCCCAAAAAGCTATTTGATGATAATTTGTGGATCTGTCAGTATTTTTTTATAGAAAGATTTCCTATATTCAGCATCTGATATAGTTGTTAAGTTTAAACCAGAAAACAGACATTACCACTCAGTCTCATCACTCACTGGGTAATACTTTTGGAAAAACTCATTTTTCTGGACTAACTAGACATTCTGAACAGTGGAAGAGAAATGCAAGTACATTTTTACCAACATGTTGTTGTTTAAAACAATCCAATTACTGGGGCTTCTGGCACAAGGAAGCTCATCCTCATGTCATAATCTGCTCCTCAAAGTTATCAGATCATCAGATCCCTGATATAACACCAGATGAATAAAAGTCTTTATAGATTTTCCAATTCATTTGATAATAGTTTCAGAATTGTCCCTTGTAACCAAGAAACAAAATTTTAGGTTTTGGGTTTGCCTCACAAAGCTTGCTGACCTACAATCATGGATGAGCCAAAGCCATTTGAGGCTATTCCACAATAGTCAAATATCCCCCCTCCCCTCAAACCGCCCCCAAGGTTCTCTGATTACTCACCTGGTTTTGTAAACTATAAGACAAGCATACACAAAGATACATATAGGCTATATGTATGGAAAGAGCAATGCTAGAAATATGTTAAGTACTGGAAGCCCTCTGAGGTAGTAAAATCAGCAATTTAAACCAAGGGGACCATTGCCATTTTGTGGTAATAGCTCATCACCTTCTTACTATGTACCTCGCCTTAAAATAGGCCTTACAAACAGCAAAATTGTTAATGAAAAGAATTCCCTGAGTGGTAGTTGGCAATTTTATTTACATACTGCATAGTAATATAGCAGAGTTTTAGGTAATTTCACATGAAATTGAAATTCAATTTTCTACAGTTTGTGTGGGTGATGAATGAAAGAGGCCTAGTTATTATGAGTACTTCATCTGACATATGCAGTAAAAGTCTTTAATGCTAACAGTTTAAATAAAAAAAAAATTGGACAGAATCATGTTGCAAAATCCACAGAATGGTTTTCTCAAAATTAATTAATATACAGCAGTAATGGTTGATTTAAGAAAAGAAAATGGATTCATCTTCTGTTTTTCTGCTGAAGAATTTCTTTGTGCTTTGCACTGTTGCTGAAGTTTCATTTCATTGGCCATTAAATCTGGGGTTCACAACAGTGGTAGTGGCACTCTTGAAAAGAGGGTTGTCGGCCTGTCAATAAAACATCAGAAACCTTTAGCTGCTAATAAAACCTAATATTTCAAAAGCAGATCAGGATTCAGATGGACAATCATAACTCACTTAGCAGCTTGATAAAACCCAAACTAAACAGCAGGAAGACGATAGAATCTACACCAAAGATCTGTCCAAGTACACCAAGCTGAATCAAGTACTTTGATTAATAACTCAAATACAGGAAGAAAAAGCCACAAGTAGGTCTTCTCCTTCCTTTATATCTTTCTACAAAAGTTAAACATCTTACCTCATTCCATTTGGCCTTGGATTTTTCCTTCTCAAATCTCTGATATTCTTTGCGATCAATCAACTCTGCCACTAGCCGCCAAGCCAGGAGAAGAAGGAGCCCAATAAGAGCCACTCCAGCTATAGTGCCCCCCACTATGGCTGCAATGTTTGGGGGTTCTGGGCATTCTAAGAGAAGAAAGAAAAATGATTAAATATGTGTGCTTGACTGAACAACAGACATACAGCTATGTATGTTTTTATAAGGCTATATCTGTTTGCATATATTACTAGCGGTAAGCATTTTTTAAATGGATAAAGATGAGGCAGAATTCAAAAATATACATGATACATTTTTCCCTACATAAATAACTGATCCTGAATCTCCATATGAGATTGCCAGAAATTCTTTAAAGCCAACATATTCTGTCAGTGGTAGGGTTCGCAATCCCTTGAGGGAGACCCACAGGTGGTATTCAGCAGGTTCTGACCAGCTCTGGAGAACCAGTAGTGGAAATTTTGAGTAATTCGGAGAACCGGCAAATACCAGCTCTGACTGGCCTCGCCCCCATCTATTCTCCGCCTCCCATTGAGTTCCAGTTGATTGGCTGGGTCTTCTTCTGTTGCCCTGCACAGGAGAACGGAGCTGGAAAGCAGGTTAGTGGGGTGGGGAGGGAATGGGATTTTCCAGTATCCTCCCCCTGGAGTGGGCTGGGAATGGAGATTTTACAGTAACCTTCCCCTGCTATGCCTACCAAGCCATGTGCACGGAACCGATAGTAAAAAAATTTGAATCCCACCACTGGGGAGACCTTTTAACTAATTCTGACTCACTAATTCCTCTTGGGTCTTCTTCTGTCACAAAGAAGAAAAATCTGCATGAGGTCCTCTCAAAATATTGAACAATACCAAGTTGCCTTTCTGTCTCTTCCCATCACTTACACAATGAAGGCCAAGATCTGCTTCTGTTACTGATTGTGTCCAACAATTGCACAGCACAGATGCCATTTCTAATCAAGAGATATTACAATGGAGAACAGATGCTAGTTTTTGGTGATGTGGCACTAAGCATACCTCTCTTAGGTTTGAATGTAATAGAATATTGCTCTTCTCCGTCAGTCTGAAACATTGTGTAAGAGATCCAGCAATTCTCTGAATCTTTTTCCTTACATTCTATACTCTTTGGGCGTATTTTATTTTCAACAATAATATTTGAACAATTCTCAGAGCAATTCTTCTCAAACGGACCAGTCCCAAAAGCACGACATTCAACACAGGAACTAAAAAACAATCAAGAAGCAAAGCTTTGTTTAAAAAAAAGTTTCGTAACAGAACCATGATACAACAGATCTATAGTTTTTATATAGCATATTATAGCATATTGTAAGTGAGGATGTAAAGCTGAGAGAATGCAAACTTATTAAAATACAGACTATGTAAGTACTGGGTCAGGAGGATGACAAGTTTGAGCTAATCTCAAATAGGTGAGATCTCTGGGATTTACATTAACTGTCCTTGGTCAACTGGTAATGTTTACTGAGGAGAAATGACAGTAGCCCAATTTCTCTTTACAGCAACTATTCTGTCCTCTACAATTTATCCCCTTTGCTCTTTCATTATCGAGATGAGAGATATTCTGTCCTCTATAATTAGTGACTGAATGTATAAAGGCAGATAGATAACTCTACAAAGCATTCATACAAAGTCTCTTTATTGGTTCATCAGGCACCCTCAAGATAACTCACAATTATGACAAGATTCTTCTCAATGTCCAATTCTTTGCATATCTGTCTTTCTGGGTAAAAAGATGGCTATCTCTCATCCCGATAATGAAGGAGCAAAGGGTGAAGCACCAGCATGCTGCTGGGGTCCAAGTAAGAGTGAAGAAACCTCCCCCAACCCACCAAGGGTCAATTCAGTGACCAATCAGGGTTACAGATGTGGCCACATGACATGAACTACATTTCCCAGGATACCTTAACGACATTTACCATGATGCATTCCCTTAAGGGGACAGTTCCCAATTACTAACTAACTATACCAATTCCCATGAACCATAACTGGCTGGATAGCACAGCAACACTAAAGGAAAGAAGTGTGCAAGCACTGCAGCTCGCCAGGGGTGGGATTCTACCAGTTCGCACCTATTCTCTAGAACCAGTTGTTAACATTCTAAGCAGTTTGGAGAACCAATTGTTAGAAGAAATTACTGGCCTAATCCTGTAAGGAAGGCAGGAAGGAAACATTCTGGTGTTGCTTACAGGAACTGCCTCTCCATTAACCCTTATTATATTCTTGGCAGGACTAGTCTTCATGTCTCAGGAACTTCTCTGGAGTTTTTTTCCCCTCCTTTGCTGGTACTTTGCTTGTGTGGAGTGACCATTCAAAGTTACAATGGCACTGAAAAAAGTGACTTATGACCATTTTTTTACACTTACGACTGTTGCAACATCCCCACAGTTATGAGAGGCCAGGCGAGGAGATGCGTGCCTCGATGAGAGTGATATTGAGTTGGCCATGCCCAGCCAATAACATGACCACCAAGCCACGTCCAGCCAGTCACATGACCACCAAGCCATGCCCACCAACTAAGCCACGCCCACAGAACCAGTTGTTAAAAAATTTGAATCCCACCCCTGCAGCTCGGTATGTCTCAAAGTCCTTGGATACTTTTACTGTCACAGGATTTCTGATAATGTCAGCCGGATCTCCAGCATAGGTTTCTTTAGGGTGCTTGCTATCGGATGCCATGGGAAAGTAGGCATCAGGGAAAGTAGGCATCAGGATGCAATGGGAAAGTAGGCATCAGGTATTTGAGACTGAGAAGTAAGCTGATGTAGTCCCATGAGACCTGAAAGGGAGGTTTGCACTCGTGAAATATGGCACTGCTGAAGGGAGGTGTTTACACTCTGTCAAGGCCAACAGTCCTGAGACTCCAGATGGGAGAAATACCTGAAAATGGGCTTTTCCACAACATCATACTGGATGATGGATGGACTCACAGTACTGGACACCCTGAGGTAGGGATTTGAGGTGACTTTCAATCTGTTACTTTCACATGTTTTGAATTAGATCTTGCCTTGCTTTCCCTGCCATCACTTCAAACTTCAAATCAATGGAGTTGGGGATTTTCTTTCTTGACTTTCAAACGGAGGCAGGCCTGACAGAAAGTGACCTTCAACAAAAGCTCTTCAGTAAATCTAGATGTAATGGAATCAGACTGCATAGTCCTTTAGGATCCCATTACTACAGAATAAGAGTTGGAAGGGATTTGGAGGTCTTCTAGTCCAACTCCCTGTTCAAGTAGGAGACCCTATATCATTCCGGACAAAAGGCTGTTCAGGTTTTTTTCTTCAAAACCTCTATTGATGGGGCATCTACAACTTCTGGTGGAAAGCTATTCCATTGATTAATTATTCTCACTGTCAGGAAATTTGCCCTTAGTTTAAAGTTACATCTCTCCTTAATAAATTTTCATTGGTTATTCTTTTCTTGCTCTCAGGTCTTTGGAGAATAAGTTAATCCCCTCTTCTCTATGACAGCTCCTCAAATAATGGAACACTGCTCTCATATCGTACCATTTTTGTCCATCCTTTCATTAGATTAGACATACCCAGTTCTTGCAACTGTTCTTCATGTTTTAGCCTCCAGCTCCCTAATTATCGTTCTCTGTACTCTTTCTAGAGTATCAACATCTTTTTTGTGTCCTAGTGACCAAAACTGGATGCAGTATTCCAACTGTGGTTCCACCAAAGCAGTATAAAATGGCACTAACACTTCATGTAATCTTGATACTATCCCTCTGTTGATGCAACCTAGAATTGCATTGCCTTTTTGGGCAGCTGCAGCACACTGCTGGCTCACATTTAAGTGGTTGTCCATTAGGACTCCTAGATCCCTCTCACAATGACTGCCAGGTACCACTTTTTCTCTATCTGTACTTTTGGTTTTCCTCCCCTAAGTATAAAACCTTACTTTTCTCGTCGCTGAATTGCATTTTGTTGGATAGGGCCCAGCATTTGAGTCTGTCAAGATTCTTCTGGATTTTGAGCCTATCCACTAAAGTGCTGCCTATTCCTGCCAGCTTGGTATTATCTGCACATTTGATTGAGTTCCTCTTCTACCCTCTCCTCTAAATCATTTATGAAAATGTTGGAGAGTACTGGGCCTAAGACAGACATGTTCCATAGAGGGCAGCATGTTGAATGTGGTTGGTTACTCAGTTATGAATCCATCAGGTGGATGCTGTTGATTCCAGTCGGTTATGGCTTACTTTTTCAAGTGCCTTACTGAAGTGTAAGTATACTATGTCTGTAGCATTGTGCTAATCCACTAATTTAGTCATTCTGTCATATAATGCGATAAGATTTGTCAGGCATGATCTCTTTTTTACAAGCTCATGTTGGCTTCCAGCAATAGCTTTTCTGGTTTTTAAGTATTTTATTATCTTTTCCAGAATCTTCCAGGTATTGATGTCAAGCTGACTTGATCTATACATTACAAGTAGCAAAGTGAAATTAAACGATGATAAGCCGTTGGATCAAAGTAGACAACTCCTGCGTATCACTTACATATATCTGTCACAGGGAGACGGGCAACCCGGGCATTCCTCACAGAAAGGGGGCTGATAGCGTCCATTACATTTGCATGTATTACACTGACATTGCCCACGGAGACTACACACATTCCCATTCTGATTCCGGCATTTTTTTGTTGAAGCTAGGCACTGGCAGGCAGTGCCATCATATTTAGCGTCACATTTACATTTCCCACAGTCACAAGTACCTCTCCCTGAAAAGAGAAATTGGAGAGGTTAGGACCAAAAGCGTTTCTTTGCATCTTCCCTGACACATAATGCCCACATTATCTAGAAAGGGTTATTAAGTTAAAATGCAGGCCAGCACTCAGTGGTGGGATTCAATTTTTTTTTACTACCGGTTCTATGGGCGTGGCTTGGTGGGCGTGGTAAGGGGAAGGATACTGTAAAATCCCCAGTCAGAGGTAGTATTTGCTGGTTCTTTGAACTACTCAAAATTTCCGCTACCGGTTCTCCAGACCTGGTCAGAACCTGCTGAATACCACCAGTGCTAGCACTCTGTTGCGGATGGCCAACCATTCACAAGTGACCCACTGAGGTATAGGAGCCCTGGGATTCTGGGCATCATATGAAAAACACTGCAGTGATCCTCAATGCAAGAACAGCTTGTCCTTGGCAAACTGGATGCTCAAAAACTGTGAAGCGAACAATATTCTAAAGGAAATAGTCAATATTTATTTATAGGAACACACACATCCATCCCGGGTATATGGTTATCAGCTGTTTTACTTCCAGATTATACAGTGTGGATCAAAGTGCTATTTATACAGCTCTTTGTAAAATGCAGAAAAATAACATAGAGTGCAAAATGGGAATCATATGTTTTACAGATTATAGCAAAAATGCCTGGAGTAATAGTATCAAAGGCCAGAGGAGCAGAGGGGGTATTCAGCAGGTTATGACCAGTTCTGGACAACCGGTAGCAGATGTTCTATATTAGCATTCTCCAAACACTGAATCCTGATTGGTCCACATGGACCGCAACCCGATTGGTCAACTGAACAGCCGTGATTGGCACGCTAAGAATCAACCGCGATTGGCCGAGCCGATCGCGGGAGATTCAAAGCCCTGTCATTGGCCGCCGAGCCGCGAGCAATCTCCATATGAAGGGCTGCCACGGCTCCAAGATCTTGTACTGGTCTGTATACCGAATAAAGAGCTGAACGTTCACTGTTGGTCTCGCGTCTCTATGGGAACCGATCTACCCGATCTAACAGCAGAAATTTTAAGTAGTTTGGAGAACCGGGAAATACTACCTCTGACTAGCCCCGCCATCATCTACTCTCTGCCTCTTGACTCCAGCTGATTGGCTGGGTCTTCTTTTGTGGCCCTGCACAGGAGAACGGAGCTGGAAAACAGGCTAGTGGGGTGGAGAGGGAGTGGAGATTTTGCAGTATCCTTCCCCTGTCATGCCCACCAAGCCACGGCCACAGAACCGGTAGTAAAAAAAATGAATCCCACCACTGCAGAGGAGGTAAATTTGATATTTTTATATTCAGCTTTCACCAATCACTTACCTTTCCCTCCACACACTTTACCATCGTGCAGTTCACAGTTAATGTTATCACATTCACAGAAGGAACCATAAATATGCTTTTGGTTATCTGCCATAGTATGGCAAATACATTGTCCACATACACAATCTCCCAGGCCAGAACAAATGACTGAAGAATTGTCCTTTCGACAACTTTTTTCCAGTTCCTTGCTGGTTTTGCCTCCAGTCTTACAATTGCAATTCTTTCCAACATAGCCAGCATTGCATCTGACATGAGAGAAGAAATATTCAACATCAAACTATAAAGTTAGCAAACAACAGTAGTATGATCATCCTTATTTTCAACTACAGTTTCCTTCACCTGTATTTATAATCTGTTACTATACAGTCTGCATCCATCTATACTCATCAAAGAAGGATTCCTACTAGATTTTACTTCTGGATGGAGAGGCATAGAGTTATTCTACTAATTTCTATTTAGTCCAGCCCATAAATGCCTCTGCTGCTCAGACTGTACAGATTACATAATTCTCCTCAGGTTAGTAAAGTGATATTTGAATTCACTTGCAACAATCACAAAGGCTTCAGACAAGTATTACATTTCTAACTATATACAAACAGATATTTTTTTTATTTCCATTTTGTTTCATAAGTTTATGTTTTACATTTTTAAAAAGTTTCTGTATAGTATGCATGAGTTAAAAAATAAAATATACCCAGAAAGTTTGTGAATTTGATAAGAAAATGATTCTGTATGAAATATTTGCTAGGCAGGTACTCAGAGAGCCAGTTTGATGTAGTGGTTAAGGCATTAGTCTAGAACAGGGCTGCCACAGGCTGGATGCGTCACATACTGGCCATGCCCACGCCTGGTTTAGTGAAGGGGGGGGGGAATTGTGATACATCATGTGACAATCCTGTAACAGTGTGAATTTGACACCTCTGGTCTAGAAACTGGGAGACCATAAGTCCTCCCCAAAATGTTTTTTATTACTATTTATTGTTCTCAAGTTAAGTTCCTTGCCTTGAAAAATTCAAGCAGGCATTTGTTTTTCTATGAGAACAGGTTTTTTTTATAGACAGACTGCATGAAAATATTTATGTACAGATAGTCCTTAAGTTACAATCACTTTTTCAGCGACTATTCAAAATTACCATGGCACTGAACATGAGGTACTTATAACTGTTTCTTAAAGTTCTGGCCATTTTGGCACCTCCCCGCCCACCATAGTCATGTGATCACCTTGCTGGCTTCCCACAATAAAGTCAACAGGGTAGGTGAGCAGGGAAGGTTGCAACTCACTCCCACAAGTTGCTCCTGTCACTTTTTTTTTTTTCCTGAGGAGCTCGTATGAAGTTTGCGATACTCCATAGCAATAAAAGACAACATGTGTACCTCAGGGTAGATCTGTGGGGTCCCTGGTGCTCTCTGAGCTTGATTTTCTTACAGAAGTTTCATTACCCAACGCCTGCTAGAATGTAACATCAGTGCTAGAAGGGAGTGGGGTTTGCTCTCTTTTATGCACTAGTGGCTTGCTTTGTCAGTGTTGGTAGGAGTGGTCTTCTGGTTCCAGGTGCATGTCCTGCCCACCAGGGTGAAATACAACCCTCCAGTAAACTGTACAGCTGGATGGGAAATAGCCCAAAGAAAGTAAGTAGAAAATTATACGGCTTATGATCATGGTTGCCCATCTCAGACTAAACAAATATCAGCACGCTGTGGAAAACCTCAAGGAACAATTAGAATAGACCATCACACCAACATACACAGAAAGGCTGGCAACCCTCATGATGATTATCTGCTGGAGACATGCTGGAAAAAGGAAAACCAAACTACAAATTGAACTACTGAAACTATAACAGGCAGGAGACTAGCAGAGTACATCTATGAACAGACGACATGATGAAAACTCCTTATTTTGCAACACATGGACAGGCTTAACCATGGTTTCAATTGGGGAACTGTGAACATCCTAGACCAATGCTAGAGAATTCCTGGAACCCTGACAATGACCAATCAGATATCAATAGCATATAGACATAAACAGCACCTACATACCATTCAAAAGGGACAATAAAAAAGCCAAAAAGAAACCAAAAAGACCCAAACAACTCCTCACCAGCAAGCCAGATGTGCATAGATTATTGCCAAGATTAATACTAGACCAACAATCAAGAAATAAATAATATCTCAATAAAGGCACCACCAACTCAGTCCAGCAAGCTAACAGTAAACAGCCTAATCAAGGAATCACCAAGACCATTCCCACCAACACTGACATAGCAAGCCACTAATGTACTGTATAAAATGAGAGCAATCTCCACTGCCTTATAGCACTGATGATGTTACCTAGTTTGGTAATGAAATGTCTTCAAGAGAACAATCAAGCTCATATAGTTCTAGGGACCCCATAATCCATAGCACATACCTCCACATCTGCCATCACTCTGCAGCACCTGCTTTCAGCATCCCTTATCCCCTGCAGCAGCTGCACACACCATCTATATCACCTGCCAGCAATATCTGCACACTGCCTCATGACATCTGTGCATTACCCTGTACTCCTTGTCGAGGATTCCTGCCTCTTTCTGCTTAATGATCTAAATAGTCCTGGAGTTACAATGGCAATTGCACCTATTGAGACTGCTGTCACTAAGTGATACCGCAACATGATGTTGCACTATATGACTGCTTTGGTTAATACAGACATTCTAATCACATATGCAACATACCTTCCTCCATACAACAACAACCCTGTGAGGTGAGGTGGTCTAAAAGCCGAAGTCACCCCATCTGGTTTTCATGAATAAAGCAGGACTTGAACTTATAGGTCCTGCTTTCTAGCCTGGTGCCTTAAACACTAGACCAAACTGGTGCTCAATTGCTGTCATAACCTGAGGACTACTTGTCCATACAACAGCAAATATTTGACCTCTGCTGCTAAAACAATTAGATTACCTGCAAATACCACAGTTTATATTTCCTTGTCCATTGCAATCAGATTTATTTGGTAATTCCTCATCGCATTCACAGTTGCACCGACTGTGTATGCGTACAGTGGTGAAGTCTGTGAAACCAAGAGGCTGCAGAGTAAGAGTCTGATTTTCAACGCATGATGTTGCTGTAATTTGCACTTGGAAGGTAATCTGTAAGAAAAAAAGAGGATTGCCCCATATAGTCTCAAATGGCATTTAAGATAATTAATAGAAACATTACATTTCATTAATTATTTATCTAATTATTTGCAAATTATTTTTATGAATATCATTTGGTTAAATAAAATGTTGTGTTGTCAAGGATCATTCAACAATGGATGTTGCAGAGATATTTACAACAGAGTGTTACGAAATTTAGAAATAAGATACAATTGTTGGCAAAACTCCTAATTACTAACCTAAGGACCTAATAACCTAATAAACCAAACTTCATGCCAGAGGACATCAATGGTGGGCTAGCCTCTCTGGATTCCACTTCAGTTTAAAGTATTGACCAGAAATGGGGGAAAGAGATTCAGACAACCTATCGAGAAGGACTTACATCTCTAAAGCCACTACTGATTAATGCACTTGGTTGACACCAGAGGTTATAGATGCCTTGTGCCAAGGAGCTGAACATTGAACTAGACGAGCAAACAGTGGTGGGATTCAAAATGTTTTACTACTGGTTCTGTGGCTTGGTGGGTGTGACAGGGGAAGGATACTGTAAAATCTCCAGTCAGAGGTAGTATTTGCTGGTTCTCTGAACTACTCAGAATTTCCACTGCCGGTTCTCCAGAACTGGTCAGAACCTGCTGAATACCACCTCTGGAGCAATAGGGGCAGAAGCTATTGGGGTCATTGCCATGTGTACCCAAGCTGTATTGCAATCCAGTACAAGTGAGAGATGGAGGTCTACTTGTTCTTATCGAGAAAGATTTGAGGAAGGATCAAGCTGAAGACCCCCTTGTACAACTTGACCGTGAAGGCCCTAGAAAGTGGCCAGCTGAAGTTTTTGCTGACCGGTTCACTGAAGGAAGCCCAACCATTGCATAAAAAATGGGATCAATTGAAGCTCCGCAATGCGGTGGCCTACCAAAGGGACCCACTCCTCAGACAGTTCTGAAGATAAATGGCAATTGTTTCTATCTGAAAAGCATAGAGAGACAGTGCTGGCTGATTTACATTATGACCATGGTGATTTGGGACCCAAGACAATTTTTAAGCTAGTAAGAGATCAGTCTACTGGCCTTGCTTGAGGGCTGAAGTTGAAGGTTATTGTCACCCCTGTTTACATTATATGCAGTGAAAGACTTTATCTTTCCAGGGCTGCCTCAATGGGCCACCTACAAAGTTGAGGATCTATGGAGCTAGTGTGCTTCCTATGTTTGGAGCTGCATACAAGTGGGCAGGGAAGCATTTTACCCGTTATGCCCAGGCTTTCCCAATTAAAGATCAATAGGCTGCTAGGGTAACCAGAGTCCTGGTGGAGAGAATTCTTTTGTTCATTATGAACTGCCCCAGCAAATCCACTCTGATCAAAGCAGAGACGAGAGAGATTAGTGTAGCCTAAGAGCAGGCTACACTATTAACAGCCCTTTGCCCAATATTTCCTCCTTTTAATTTTGATTTTTATAGTTTTTAATGTTTGAATGATAATAATAATAATAATACTGTTGTATTTAGTTTAACTGTTTTAGCTTGTTATACATTGCCCTTTCACTTGTTTTATGAGATAAGCAACTTTATAAATTTGACAAATAAATAAATACCCATATTAGCATGTGTGGGGATTGATTTATTTTTTAAAAAGTGGTCAAGAAGTACCTGATCTGAATCATATATAGAGTTAATATGTCAAGGTAAATCAGGATAAGTTATAAATGTAAGTGTAAAAGCAGGAATTTAGTTTCCTACCACCCTTGTTTTTAATATGTAAATTGTAATGAACACCAACTAGTG